AATGAGATATCACTTCACAAACTATAAGATGGACATGATTTTTAAAAGACCAATAATAAAAAGTATTGGTGAGGATATGAAGAAATTGGAATGCTCATGTGCTGCTGATTGGATTGTAAAATGTAAAGCCACTTTGGGAAACAGGTTGCAATTTGTCAAAAAGTGAAACATAGAGTCATCATATTACTCAGAAATTTTACTCTTAGGTATATACCCAAGACAACTGAGATATCTGTTCACACAAAAATTTGCACTTGAATATTCATCACAACAATATTTCACAATACACAAAAAGTGAAAACAATGCAACAGTCCATCAACTGGTGAATGGATAAGTAAAAGTGGTATAACCATTGAATGGAATTTCATTTAGCCATAAGAAGAAATACAGTACTGTTACCTGCCATAACATAGATGCATCTTGAAAGTGGCTAAGTGAAAGAAGCCAGTCACAAAAGACCACATATTGTATGATTCCATTTAAATGAAATGTCTGGAAGAGGCAAATACTTCCTGTCCTACAGGAAGAAAGTAAATGAGTGGTTACCAGGGGATAGAGGAAGAGGGGGAATGGGGAGTGACTGCTTAATGGGTACAGTTTCTTTTCAGGGTGATAAAAGTGTTCTGGAATTAAATAATTGTGATGGTGGCACAACTTTGTGACTATACTAAAAACTGATTAATTATATACTTTAAAAGAGTGAACATTATGGTATGTGCATTATACAGTAAGTCCCCTACATACAAACCTCCAAGTTACAAACTTTCAAAGATGCAAATGTGTGTTTGCATGTCCAGTCACATAAGATAGTTTGTGTCTCTGGTGTACATTGCCACATGTAAGCATCTTCTATGGGTGGTTGCGCTTTTGTGTACTTTACTTACAGTACTGTATAGAATACAGTAGTATATTTTTATTTCAAGCCCAGGATGTCTGGAAGCAAGTGAAAAAGAAGCAGTGATATAGCTGATACTGTACAGCTGATTGTGTTAGTTGGGTACCTAGGCTAACTTTGCTGGACTTACAAATTGAACCAATCATATTCTCTCTCATACTAACTCAGAAATACTAAGAGAATCAGGCCTTTGGCTATAGCAACTCCCCTGAGAAGATGTCACAGGTTTCTCAGGGGCAGACATAGAGAGGAGGAGACACTGAGAGAGAGAGAAGAGGCAAGAAAGAAAATGCCTTGTAGTCCGCCAGGGACAGAGTTGGCTCCAGTGGCCTCTCAGTCCAGGTTTCTGGCTGGTGCTCCTCAAACTTTAAGATTCATTTGAACCACCTGAGGATCATAAGAAAATGCAGACACTGATTCCGTGGGTCTGGAGTTGGGGGTGAGGTTCTATGTTTCTAACAAGCTGGCAGGCAAGGCTGCTGCTGCTGGTCCCTGGACCACAATTTGAGTAGCAAGCAGCTAGGCTACATCTCTCTTCAATGGGGAAAAATGTTTATTTCTTGAGGCCATTTGAGAGTACTGTACCCATGTTCCTTGCCTCAGATGAGAACCTAGCCCTGGCTGACACCTGGCTGAAGTTCAGACCCATCTTAGCCGTGTTCAGATCCCTGACCCACAGAAGGCATGGGATAATAAATGTGTGCTTTTGAAGCCACCAAGTTGGTGATAACTTGTCACCTAGCAATAGATAACTACTAGAAAGGAATTCACTGTCCCAAAGTTTTCAGTTGGAAGGTGCCTTGTAAGTCGTTAGTCTCCTTCTTCTCCTAGTCTGTCCCTACCAGGCTTTCTGGGCGACTGCACTGCTGAGAGAGCACAGAACAATGGTTGGAAGCATTCTGTCTAAACAGCCTTTATCTTTTTTTCCTACAAATTATTATGGGAGTCAGACTCGAAGAAAATGATCAGTATTGGAATGTGGACCAAATTAGGTTTTGAATCTGCAAGACAGGAGAGCCCTGGACCAGAATCCTAATAGCTCCTCCCTGGGGCTCTGACAAATTATCCAGAGATGGGAAAAAGGTAACTATTGCCTTTATTATTTTTTCATATTTTAAATATGTGGGTTTTGTTTTTGCTACATTTCTCATTTTCCTATTATTCTCTATTTTAAAGCCAAGTTCTGAAGTTTTCTGAATAAACTGAGGGTTCAGATTACAATTTGAGTATAACTATTCATCATTCAATATCACTGTTTCCCCCTTAGTTTATGAGACTCTGCTGAGAGTTTTACCAACTTTTGTAGGTTGACTTGTGAATAATCAAGTTTTTGCTTCATTTATACCATAGGAAGAGCTGAAAAATATTATGAATCCCTGAACATAAGACTTTTATAGCATATTAAATCACTGTTGCAACACATTTGATTCACTACACTAGCAAACTACAAAATAAAAAACATGTGGTCTTAATATATTCAGAAAAACATTGACAAATCCTACATACAGTTCTGATTTTTTAAAAACTCAACAAACGAGGAATAAAACAGAACTCCCTAAATTTGATAGCAGACATCTATAATAAACATACAGCTAACATCATAATTAATAGTGTATTAGTTTTCTAGGGATATCATAACACAATACTATAGACTGGGTGACTTAAACAACCGAAATTAATTTTCTCACCGTTCTGGAGACTGGATGTCCAAGATCAAGGTGTCAGCAGTGCTGTTTCCACACAGAGGCTTCTCTCTCTGTCTTCACATGGTCTTTATACTCACACATATCTGGGTCCAATTTCTTCTTCGTTTCTTTATTTCAATAGCTTTAGGGAGTACAAGTAATTTCTGGTTACATGGTTCCATTGTATAGTGGCGAGAAGTCTGGGCTTTAAGAGTACCCACCAGCAACCCCCTTGGGTCCCACCACCCCCACCTGTGTACACTGTACCTGAAAGGTGATTGTTTTCATTCCTCTATCCCTTCTCACCCTCCTCCTTCTGAGTCTCCAGTGACCATTATACTATTCTCTATGCCTTTGCAGATCCCTAGTTTAGATTCCACTTATAAATTAGAACATGTGGTATTCGGTTTTCTGTTCCTGAGTTAGTTCGCTTAGGATGATGTTCTCCAATTCCATGCAAGTTGCTGCAAAACATTATTTCATAACTTTTGATAATATTCCATAGTTTGTGTGTGTATACATACATATATATGTATATATACACATATATATATATA